TGAAGACATGATGAAGGCTCATGGTGAAGACTCAGGCTCATGATGAAGACTCAGGCTCATGATGAAGACTCACGCTCATGATGAAGACTAAGGCTTATGATGAAGACATGATGAAGACTCAGGCTCATGGTGAAGACATGATGAAGACTCCGGCTCATGGTGAAGACATGATATAGGCTCAGACTCATGGTGAAGACATGATGAAGACTCAGGCTCATGATGAAGACATGATATAGACTCAGACTCATGGTGAAGACATGATGAAGGCTCATGGTGAAGACTCAGGCTCATGATGAAGACTCACGCTCATGATGAAGACTAAGGCTTATGATGAAGACATGATGAAGACTCAGGCTCATGGTGAAGACATGATGAAGACTCCGGCTCATGGTGAAGACATGATGAAGGCTCATGGTGAAGACATGATGAAGACTCAGGCTCATGATGAAGACTCAGACTCATGGTGAAGACATGATGAAAACTCAGGCTCATGATGGAGACATGATGAAGACTCAGACTCTTGGTGAAGACATGATGAAGACTCGATTTAGACTCAGGCTCATGACGAAGACTCAGGCTCATGGTGAAGACATGATTAAGACTCTTGGTGAAGACATGATGAAGACTCAGGCTCATGGTGAAGACATGACGAAGACTCAGACTCATGGTGAAGACTCAGACTCATGGTGAATACTCAAACTCATGGTGAAGACTCGATGAAGACTCAGGCTCATGGTGAAGACATGATGAACACTCACTCATGATGAAGACATGATGAAGACTCAGGCTCATGGTGAAGACATGATGAAGACTCCGGCTCATGGTGAAGACATGATGAAACTCCGGCTCATGGTGAAGACATGATGAAGGCTCATGGTGAAGACATGATGAAGACTCAGGCTCATGATGAAGACTCACACTCATGATGAAGACTCAGGCTCATGGTGAAGACATGATGAAGACTCCGGCTCATGGTGAAGACATGATGAAGGCTCATGGTGAAGACATGATGAAGACTCAGGCTCATGATGAAGACTCACGCTCATGATGAAGACTAAGGCTTATGATGAAGACATGATGAAGACTCAGGCTCATGGTGAAGACATGATGAAGACTCCGGCTCATGGTGAAGACATGATGAAGGCTCATGGTGAAGACATGATGAAGACTCGTGAATACTCAAACTCATGGTGAAGACTCGATGAAGACTCAGGCTCATGGTGAAGACATGATGAAGACTCACTCATGATGAAGACATGATGAAGACTCAGACTCATGGTGAAGACATGATAAAGACTCAGGCTCATGATGAAGACACAATGAAACTCTCAATGCAATCCTTGTCAACCCAAACAGTCCTGAAAGACGATGGAAACGTTGTTGTGAGATATATCCTATATCAGACATGTTTCTGTAAAGCACATTAAACTACACTCCAGATACTCAATCTGTTAGCTTGTCCATTCCCTTGATCACAGTGATCTTATGTTGCCCATGCTAACAGGGGGGAGAAACTAGTTATTTGTCTCCTTAAATCTGGACCCAGCTCTCCTCCTTCGTCTCTTTGGTTTACCTACTGTATCCTTCTCCAGATTGCAGTAGGGATAATATATCTTCCGACCGCCATGCTAACCGGCTTAAGCACAATTAGCTTATCGCTGATGTAAACAAGGCATCCAAGCAACAGCGGCGTGGATGCACAACAACAACTCAACTGCAAAAACACATATAACAACTGTGAAAACAAATCTCTACAGGAACATGCCTATAGGGTTAGAGTTAGGGCTATCTGTTTTGCTGTGTCATAAAGAATATCTTATGAAGTACACATCATTTACTGTGAAGAGTGACTGTTGTAATATGCTGTTACTGATGATGTGCTTTAACCTTTCAAGGCCTTTCCATCCCTGCCAGGAACTTTGCAAGCGGAGAAACAGCATGAAACACGAGGCTTTCTTATTTCTCATTAACTGATGCTTATCTTATCTGATCTTCACATTTACATTTTAGTCATTTCAGCTGACTCTCATATTGAGCAGACGGGGGATCTCATTCAAGGACACACGGCAGCAAACAGACTTTCCATTTATCTTTCCTGTAACTCAGCTTCCTTTTAATCCGCCAATCAGGATGGACAGAGAGAAGTCGCTAACCACTTTCCACCTCTCTGCTGTATCTGTTTGTTTGAATGGGTGTTTCTGTTTGCACATCTGTGTGTGCGTTCATTTCCGTCCCTGTTTGTGTGTTTGTATTTGTCTTTATGTGTATGTGTGTTTTTGGTTAGAAGCTCTGCGGGGGGTGACTATGGTGGAGCTGGTGAAGAAGGAAGGCAGCACGCTGGGCCTCACCATCTCCGGAGGAACAGACAAGGATGGGAAACCCCGGGTGTCGAACCTGCGGCCTGGAGGGCTGGCAGCCAGGTGGGGGCGACACCAGAGAATCAGATTCAGAATACTTTTGTTTTGGGTTCTGTGTCATCCGTTCCATAGAAGGATATGAATACAAATATTTATATAAAAATGGATAATTAAAAAAAAGTGTGCCGTACTAAGATAAAAAAAAAGAAAATAAATAAAGATGTATATAAACTTAAGAAGTTAGTGCAATTTCCAAAGAAATATCAAATCCAATACAAAAAAAATAAGTATATAAACTTTAACTACTATATATAACCTGTGCAATAAAATAAATAGAGTGATGTATAAATTATATAAGTAATAGAATATTCTCAATGTGGGAAAATAGCAGAAATATACAAAGTAAAAATGTTCAATGAAAATTGAAAGATAAAGCCGTTTGTATAAACACAATACATTTATTTTTTTAAACGGTCTAAAAACAGATACAATTAAGATTTGTATCTGACATTAAAAAGCTAAAGTGAAAACAATGAGTGAAAAAAGAATGCCTATTGGAAAATATGCTGTACCTGCAACATTTTAATGTATCTCTGATTGTTTCATTAACATGTGATTAAATCCAAAGTCATTCATACCCACTTTTGTCCATGCTTTGTTCCTTTTCTTTTGTGCAGGAGTGACCAGCTCAATGTGGGTGACTACATAAAGTCTGTAAATGGCATCAATCTGACCAAACTGCGGCACGAAGAGATCATCAGTTTACTGAAGAACGTCGGGGAGAGAGTCCTGCTGGAGGTGGAGTACGAACTGCCCCCTACAGGTACATCACTTCAGCTCCATACACACATGTGTACTGAAGATGTTCTTGTGGAAAAAAAAATATATATAAATGGTGCATATATCAACACAAGAGGAAATGCTTTTTGAAAAAAAGAAGCAAATATTAAACTATTAAAATCACTATTTTCAAAAAAATGAAACAAAAAATGACAAATTATTACAATATGCACAGTTTACAGAACTTCAATGGAAAAAGCTCTGTTCTTTTTAAAGAGATAGCAATGACCACACATGTGTAAGGTTTACAGTATGAGGAATGATGTGAGGATAGGGAAATTCAAAACGTTTGTGTCTTCTGGGGGGAGGGGTTGACCAGAGTCTTTCCTGAAATATAATGTTTACAGCACTGAATGTTGGTGTTTTATAGAGCATTGAAATGTACGGTGGCTGACAAGAGCATACACGCCAAAAAGAGGTCAAAACATTTCCATTCGGATGAAAATGAAAACACTGAAAATACAAAATGCTGCAAATGAGAAAACGCTGCAAGACGTAAAAAAACCAATGGAAACGAGGACAGTTAAAAGTGATGAAAACAGCTGGGGCCGGAGAACATGTTGAAATTTGGGGGATTATAATTGTCACTCTTGGTTGAAAGTTACCTAAAATATATGTTTTATTGGCTTATTTTAACAATGGGATCCAACGATTCCTGCTGACATTACAAGTCAGTTACAAGATCTGTAATTATTTCTGACTTTTCATTATAATTTGTAACTTTTTTGAAACTCACACGGAGTGGGAATGTTTTTGGCCACTGTAATGCGTTTGCACCTCTCAGCCACCGTAGCATGAACATCTTACACTAGGATACTGGGCACGAAAATAAAGTCTACTCATTCATTTCAATGGAAAATACTGTCAGTATAGGTTTGTCAGGCGCAATATGCTTGTCAGGGTTGAGAGAGGCAAGCAGGACCCAAATGCAGATGCAGACAAAACTAGGGCCAACAGGGTGGGTGGAGGGGGTCTGGAGGACCCGGAAGGGGTCTCGGGCGGACGGCCCGGGGGCAAAGCAGAGATCAAGGATGGGGTCTCGGGCGGACGGCCCGGGGGCAAGGCAGAGTTAAAAATAGGGGGACTCGGGCGGATGGCCCGGGGGCAAGGCAGAGTTCAAGGATGGGGTCTCGGGCGGACGGCCCGGGGGCAAGGCAGAGTCCAAGGTGGGGCGAAGGCCAAACAGCTCCGGAGGCCGGGCAGGACCCGGTGTCGGTGAGACAGGCTTCGGCAGGATCCCCCACGGAAGAGGACCAGGAGTTGGCAGGACCCCC